GAATGCAACTAATATACAACCTAGCATGCACAATGCTATGAAATGGCATACACGATGCACGAGGTAACATGGCATACATAATGCGCTAACATACAACCTAGCATACGCAATGCTATGAAATGAAATGGCATACACAATGCATAATGGACTTACACCAACATGAGTAGATCTCAGCCACACTCACATCAGAGGCCATGAGATGAAAATGAGACACTCGGAATGCGTGCACACGTGCACGCATACCGAGGACTGAACCTAAGGCACGAATGCCACTCTACCAAAGCATGGCAAGGCATGAAACATGGTATGCAAACATGCAAATTTCAGTACCGAAATATGATGCAAAACAACCCCGAAACATGGCAATACGGTACCCGATGCATGAAATGAGACCCGAAACTCAAAACTAGGCATGCGCAATGGCCTATAGCTATACAAAACATGCACTATTTGATCATGAAGCATGAAGACAGATTCAAGGAAGTCCCAAAACAAGCATATTTACAGTTCTAAGCAATGCCAAAAAGTGAACACAAATGGGGCTAAGCTAGCATGCAAAAATGGCCCCGAAAGAGAGATAATGAAGCAAGTGGCATCTTCTGTCCCTAAAAATAGAAGGGCCCTTCTACAATGTTGAAGAGGGGCCCAAAATATGGTATTCTACAGTTGGTGGCCGAGCCAAAAACAGTACACAAGTATGCTCAAAATACTATACAAAATAAGGCCTAAAAAGAGGTCTAAACACAAGGAGGAAAAATGAAACATAAAACAGCAAAAGACCCTTGATGAAACATGAAGAGGGGGTTAAAATAAGGCCATTTACAGTTCGGACCAAAGTCCAGAAACACAAACACAAGGGGCTAACAAATCATGCAAAAATGAGGCCAAAAGAGGGATATAAAGGCAAGTGGCAAATGGAAGCCACAAATAGTGATGAGCCCTTCAACAATATTGAAGAAGGGCTCAAAATAAGTTTCTTTACAGTTCGGACTAGAGCTCAAAACAGTTTACATATAGGCCTAAAATAATATGCAAGAAAAGGGCATACAAAGGAGGTAATGAAGCAAGTGCAAAAAGGGAGCCTCAAACAGTGAGAGGCCCTTAAACAAAAATGAAATAGAGCTCAAAAAAATGATATTTTTAATTAGGGTCGGAGCCCCAACATGCAAGCACAAAGAGCTAAGATGTGAACCAAGAAAATGGTCAAAAAGGGGAGAAGAGGACTTATCCTTGAAGATTAATCTTTGACATCCTTTTGGACCAAGAAATGCTGCCTCCTAAGCTCTGAGAAGACCCTCCAAGCTGCTGGAATGGAGTGGTGGTGTGGTGCTAGGTGATGGTGAGGAAATGGTGTAAGAATCAAAGGGTTTTTTTAGGCTTAGAGTAGAGAGAGAGAGAGATTTAATGTGAGAGCTCTAAACCAAAATTTTATACCCCTAAAACACAGCTGGGGGTCTGTTTATATAGACACAAGAGGGTGGAAAAGAGGGGGAAAATGGGGGGGAATGAAATTCAAATTCCCCTCCAAAATTGGCCTAAAAGGGAGATAAAGGGGCAAGTGATAGTAGGAGATCTCAAACAAGAGAGCTCTTCAACAAAGTTGAAGGAGGGCTCAAAATAAGACACTTTGTAGTTTATGACAAGCCACGAAAATAAATACAAGTAGGTCTAAACTATCATGCAAGAAAAGGCCTAAAAGAGGGGTAAAGAAGCAAGTGGCAGTAGGATATCTCAAACAGAAAAAGGTCCTTAATCAAACATGAAAAGGACCTCAAAATATGACTATCTCAAGTTCGGGTCAGAGCCCAAAAATGTAGAATGAAGGTTCGGGAGCCAAAACACGCAGTTTGGGGCCCCGAAAGTGGGCTGTTAGGCACCGGAAGTGGTGTCCGACCACGAAGTTGGTCTCTCGGACCGTAGTGTCCCTCAAAAGGGAGTAAATAAGATGCATGCCAAAAACTGGAGCAAACGGAGGTGGTTAAGCTGTCCCGAACCGAAGCACACGTCCAACAGCTCCGAAAAATCGAAAACCGGACTCCAAACGGGCAAAACGGCCTACGACCACGAAAGGTAGCCTACAGCCACTGAGAGATGATCTACAAGACCTCTCCCTCCCTTCGGGAAGAGAAAACGGAGAAAACGGAGCCTGGTTCGGAAACCGAGGCAAAGCACAAAAGAGTCCGGAAGTCCGGAGGCAAGGCTCGCAGCCGAGACTCTGAAACTTCTGAACGAGCACAATATGCAATATTACCGAGCGCTCAACTGGTGACGTCTGAGTCTCAAGGTCGGTCAAAAATGAGGTGTCTACACCTAATGAATAGTACCATCCAACGTTGCTTCGTTTCATCCACAACAGATCAAAATCAACAATACCATTTTCGGTTTTAAACCACCATTAACACCAAAATACATGTTTTACCAGTGATCCAACTTCAGAATGACAGATGCAACGACGACACAATGTTAGGAAAACCCCAAAATAGAGCGAGTTATGCGTACCAGAGATGCAACGACGGCACAATGTTACGCGTAAAGGATGGTCGACGCGTTGACGAAGCACTGTAGGCCTGGATCAGTCGAGCGTTGTTGTGTTGCCGTCTCCCCCTCTTTGGTTCTTCGTCGTCGTTTCGTTGAAGTGTGTTTCATCAGCAAACCCTTTCAGAAAATACATGTAAAGCAAAATCCAATTGACCAGGGGTATTTTCGTCATTGTCTGTTCTACACGTGTTTCCTTCCACACGCGTAGTCTTCCGTTTGTCTGCTTGTGATTTTTAAACCAATTTTTGTCGTGTTGTGCTTATTTAGTCCGAAAATGATTGCCAAATCGCAGCTTAGTAGTGTTGGAAAATTATTTAGTAGTCATAAAATTTAAAAATCTCAATTACAAATTAAAATAAATTTATGTAATATTTATTAATATTCTATTTATTTAATTTTTTAAAATTTCTAATAAAAAAATTAAATAAAATTTATAATTCAGATTTAATATTACTATTATTTAGCAAATAATTCAAAACGGCAAAATAGTCTTTTGAACATTTATCCTTCTCCACAATATCCCAAACAAACATGAGATTCAATAGAATAGTCTAATTCAGACCTCTAATCCCATGACTTAACAAACATAAGATACAAATCTAATCCAACCAAATAGTCCAAGGACAATGTATCGAAGACTACCAGTCCAATAGATTACAATCTCCCTTTATCCAATCCGTCCAAACAAACACACCCTATGTGGATGAGGCATGCTGTGATTGTAATATGTGGATGAGGCATGTAGTGATTGTAATATTCTAAAATTTCAAACTTTCTTTCTTTGGATGAGGCATGCAGTGATTGTAATATTTTTTTAAGACATTGACTGTACTATATATATATATATTTTTTTTTGAGGAAGTGCACAAATTGAATTATGTTAAAAATTTATAAATTTTAAACCGCCAAACCAATTCGCATCCATCCGCCAATCCGCTCAATCCATATTTGTCGGATTGGCGGATGGATGCGGATTGATTTTCTCCAATCCGCCAATTTGGCAGACGGTTGGCGGATTAGAGGTTCCGTGATCACAATTGACCCGCACCCACCCCTAATATATGTTAATTAAATTTATTATCAATATAATTTATATTATATCAATTTCAAATATATATTATTTGTTAATATTTGATTTTAAAAAAGAAAGAAGTAAAAATCATTTCTGGATTGAATCTTAATAAGTGTTTTTTATTTTTATTTTTTTGCTTGTTTGTTTATTTTTGCTATAGTTAAATTTTTTTAAAATTATAGACAATCCTGAAATTTAAAAAAAAATTAAAATAAAAATTAAAAGGCCACTGAAGAGAGAACATAACCTGTTTTTGTGGAAAAAGCCTAAAATGGTTAGATTATTTTAATCTGTAGTGAGTATTTAGAGTTGCATTTTTAGTAGCTTTTTTGTTAGTTTTTTTTTTTCCAGTCTTTCATAATTTTTTTTCAATTTTAAAAATAATTTTTTTTTTTCAATTTAAAAAAACCTTTAGGGTTCTCCTCGACTAAATGGACTTTTTTAGATTTTTTCAAATCATTACTATTTTTTTAACTTTTTAGATTTGTCTAAACAAAATGGACCAAAGAAGTAAAAAAAAAAATGAACATAATTTTGAAAGAAAAATATTAAAAATAAAATGAATTCACAAATAAACTTTTTTCAAATGTTTCGAATTTTTAATAAAACATTTATGGTTTAAAAGATGGACATGGGTGGGCTTGGAGGAGAAGCAAAAATGATGGGTTGCAAAGATTGATTTTTAGAGTTCCATTTGATGAACATGTCTTATCATGCTGTCCGGGTTTGGAGCCCTGCTTATGGGTTGGGGTAAAGGTTCTCTTTATTGGGCTTTGAGTTGAATAATGGGCTGAAGCCTGATGATAAACCCATGCCATGCTTTAACAGTGTCTGTCGGGAAATTATTCAATATTTTAGAAATATGACGTATTCATACTCTAAATCAATTATTAATTTGTTAGTCTCATATTGTCCATTTTCTCCAACATAAATCGTGAGCCTTTATGTCTCTCCACCAATTAAAATCTTATAAAACACCCCATGTCCATATTCCGAGAATACTAAACATGAAATATGAGTTGAATTTGAATTAATGTGGTAGGGAGATGATGTGATTTAAATGAGATGATGTGATTTTAAATAAGATAGTAACTTTTTAACTTTTTAAATTTTTTATATTATGTCAACCTTGACTTAAATAATCAGCATGCCTGTCCCAAACAACGTATGACGGTTTGATGGTTTCGTATTCTTCAAGATCTCAATCATAACTATCAAATATTTGATTTCTACCAGCATTAAATATTTGATTAGATGCGAGTTTCGGTTCCGATTTCGATTTAGATTTGAGTTACCCTATGGATCTAAATATTCTATCAAATCTCATACTTAAAAGTGTGTGCATGGGTGCTAAAATATTTTGGTAGAATATTTTGAATAAAAAAAATATATATATATTTTGGTGGAATATTTGGAGGACATCTCTTTCGATTTTGATATCTCATCTCATCGTTCACTCTTTACCGGGGGGGGAACCTCTCTCCTCTCTCCCACCGTCTTCGAGATCTTGGCCGATTTGTGCTCTTCGAGTTCTCATGATGTTTGTGAGTTTTGATTTTCCCTTCTTTTTCACTCTCGCTGAAATTATTACAATACAAAACCTTATTATATTATTGTTTGGTTTTGATCTGTGCTTTTTTCGAATTCTCATAGCCAACAGTCAGCCATTGTTTGTTGTTCACAGATTTCCCGTCTTTTACCTTCCAAACCTCACTCTTCTCGGCGATTCGTTTGATTTTACAATTTGGCTTGGCTTTGAACAAGTTCATCGCAAATTGGATACCAGAATTGATTCACACTACTTGGACCAACTTCGTGGTAGTCGAATTCGATGCCAGAATCGACCCAAATGACAACCTACGCCTGGTAAATCTCTCTCTCTCTCTCTGTTAATTGTTGGTATATATATATATCCAATTCAATTATTTGATTTGTACTCGTGGATTTTCTTACGCCTTATTAGTTTCTTACTATTCCTGTTTAATATGTACTACAAGTGTGTTGCGGTGTGGTGTGGTTTGCAATAATATATTGAATAGAAAATTGGGTGTATATATGCTTCTTCTTCTTCTTCTTCTTTATATCATCAATTATTTGATTTGTACTCATGGATTTTGGTAGTTCTTATTAGTTTCTTACTATGCTTTGTTTAATAATTTCTATAATGCTGTGTTTGGTCGAGGGATTTAGGAATGGATTTGGAAATGGAAATGGAAATGAAAAAAATGTGTGAAATAAGGTGAAATATATGTATATTTTATTCATATTTACCTACCTTTTCTCTTTTCTTTTCCAAATCCTTTCACAAATCCCTCAATCAAGCACAGCGTAAGTGTGTGCAATAATATATTGAATGGAAAATTGGGCCTACATGTTTTGTCTAATTCTTGAAAGAAACAGTAGCGCACTTTTAGATAGAAAAGAAAAGTGGGAGGAAGATCGGTAAATAATACCTTGAAGGAATAGATGTGAGGAGAGCACTCCTTCCCCTGTATCATCTAATTGCATGGATTGTGGCCCCCATCCTTTCTTCTTCTTCTTCTTCTTCTTCTTCTTCTTTTGAAAAAAACTTACTTTCCATTTTTATTTTAATCTATTTACAATTGAAACATTAGGTGGCTATTAGTTGTAGCCTAGTTGTAGTCTATAAATAGGTGATACTTTTTTATTAGTAGAATATATATTTTGTGATACAAATAAAATGAAATCAAGAATCTAAAATCAAGAAAGAAAAAATCCCCAATTAGGGTGTAAACCCCTAAGGATTAGAGAGAAACCAAGGCTCTACCCCCCATCAAAATGTATATTCTTTTAATAAAATAAAATAAAATAACTGAGTACATTGACCCGTACATCATCTATTGATAGACCACAACTATTAGGACACTTATCCCACTAGAGTGGACATTTATATACAACTCATTTTGTTCTCTCTCTCTCTCTCTCTCAATTTGATATTTGTTTGCAATTTTGGTTGCATTGCTCTTAGCTTTCCTTGTAATCAAAATAATAGTCTTAGTTTTAATAATAATGCAATTTTGGTTTGTTTATTTTTATTTTTGGTTTATTTTCTGTTTGTTTGTTTTTTTATTTATTGTTTAACTTTTTCATATATTGCTTCTTTTTTTTTTTTGTTAATAAAGATACTATTAATGGTTTATTTATTGTTTTTGGTTTTGGGTTTATTGGTTTGCGAAGAAATCGTGAGTGAAGAATAAATAACTTTTGGATCTCAATACTTGAGAATAGGAAAAACGGACATCTTTCTCTCGGAGTCTCCATTGAGACTAAACTTCTATCCATGATTTCTTTATAGTTTAGTATCTAATTAGCTTTTTTCATATTTTGTTTCGTTTTTTAATAAGTATATTATTTGTTGTTTGATTTTTTACTATTTGATTTTTGGTTTATTTATTTGCAAAGAAATTGTGAGAGAAGAATTCATAACTTTTGGATCTCAATACTTGAAAATAGGAAAAATTGATATCTCTATCTCGGAGCCTCCATTGAGACTAAGTTCCTCACCACGATTTCTTTGCAATCAATATTATAGTTCTAGTTTCTAATTAGTGTTTTCATATTTTGTTTCGTTTGTTAATAAGCATATTACTGCTGTTGGATTTTTTTATTTTTGTTTTTTGGTATATTTGTTTGTCAAGAAACTGTGAGAAAACATAACTTTTGTATCTCAATACTTGAGAATATGAAAAACGGATCTCTCTCTCTCTCAAAGTCTCCATTGAGACTAAGTTCCTCTCTATGATTTCTTCGCAATCAATATTATAGTTTTAGTTTCTAATTAGCATTTTCATATTTTGTTTCGTTTTTTAACAAATATATAATTTATTGTTTGAATTATTTATTTTTGTTTTTTTGGTATATTTGTTTGTCAAGAAATCATGAGAGAACATTACTTTTGTATCTCAATACTTGAGAATATGAAAAATGGATATTGCTCTCTCAAATTCTCCATTGAGACTAAGTTCCTCTCCACGATTTCTTCGCAATCAATATTATAGTTTTAGTTTCTAATTAGTGTTTTCATAGTTTGTTTCGTTTTTTAATAAGTACATTATATATTGTTTGATTTTTTGATTTTTGTTTTTTGGTTCATTTGTTTGTCAAGCAATCGTGAGAGTTTTGGATCTCAATACTTGAGAATAGGAAAAACGGATCTCTCTCAAAGTCTCCATTGAGACTAAGTTTCTCTCCACGATTTCTTCGCAATCAATATTATAGTTTTAGTTTCTAGTTAGCCTTTTCATATTTTGTTTCGTGTTTTAGTAAGTATATTATTTATTGTTTGATTTTTTTTATTTTTGTTTTTTAGTTTATTTGTTTGTCAAGAAATCGTGAGAGTTTTGGATCTCAATACTTGAAAATAGGAAAAATGGATATCTTTATATTGAAGTCTACATTGAGACTAAGTTCCTCTCCACGATTTCTTCACAATCAATATTATAATTTTAGTTTCTAATTAGCATTTTCATATCTTGTTTCATTTTTTAACAAGTATATTATTTATTGTTTGAATTATTTATTTTTGTTTTTTGGTATATTTGCTTGTCAAGAAATCGTGAGAGAATGTTAGAATTTCCCATCTTTACCTTCACCTACTCCACTACACACTCCACTTCACCTACCATCTCCACTAGCACCCACTTCACCTACCACCTCCACTACACTACACCTACTACCACCTTCTCTTCTATATATAGGAGTTGTAATCAATCTTGTAATAGATCAATACAACACATTAGATATCAATCTTGTAATATATCAAATCAATCTATCAATAATACTACAATTTTGACATGGTATCAGAATCAATCAATAATATATCAATTTACTCCTCCACCTACCATCTCCACTAGCACCCACTTCACCTACCACCTCCACTACACTACACCTACTACCACCTTCTCTTCTATATATAGGAGTTGTAATCAATCTTGTAATAGATCAATACAACACATCAGATATCAATCTTGTAATATATCAAATCAATCTATCAATAATACTACAATTTTGACAGAGAACATAACTTTTGTATCTCAATACTTGAGAATATGAAAAACGGATCTCTGTCTTAAAGTCTCTATTGAGACTAAGTTCCTCTCCAAGATTTCTTCGCAATCAATATTATAGTTTTAGTTTTTAATTAGTGTTTTCATAGTTTGTTTTGTGTTTTAATAAGTACATTATTTATTGTTTGATTTTTTTATTTTTGTTTTTTGGTTCATTTTTTTGTCATGCAATCGTGAGAGTTTTGGATCTCAATACTTGAGAATAGGAAAAACAGATATCTCTCTCTGAGTCTCCATTGAGACTAGGTTTCTCGCAACGATTTCTTCGCAATCAATATTATAGTTTTAGTTTCTAATTAGCGTTTTCATATTTTGTTTCGTTTTTTAATAATTATATTATTTATTGTTTATTTTTTTTTGTTTTTTTGTTTATTTTGTCAAGAAATCGTGAGAGTTTTGTATCTCAATACTTGAAAATAGGAAAAACGGATATTTCCATCTCGGAGTCTACATTGAGACTAAGTTCTTCTCCACGATTTCTTTGCAATCGATATTATAGTTTTAGTTTCTAATTAGCGTTTTCATATTTTGTTTCATTTTTTAATAAGTACATTATTTATTGTTTGATTTTTTTTGTTTTTGGATTTTTGGCTTATTTGTTTGCGTGGAAATCATGAGAGAAGAATTCATAACGTTTGGATCTCTCTTGAAGTCTTCATTGAGGCTAAGCTTCTTTCCATGATTTCATATTTTGTTTCATTTTTTAATGAGTATATTACATATTTTTTGATTTTTTTTTTAATTTTTTTTTTTATTTGTTTGCAAAGTTGTAAGAGAAGAATTAATAACTTTTGAATCTCAATATTTGAGAATAGGGGAAAAAAATGGTTTCTAATTAGCTTTCTGTTGTCTCGTTTTTTAATAATTATATTATTTATTCTTTGATTTTTGGTTTATTTGTTTGCGAAGAAATTGTGAGAGAAGAATTCGCAACTTTTGGATCTCAATACTTGGCAATAGGAAAACAAACATCTCTCTCTCGGAGTCTCAATTGAGACTAAGTTCCTCTTCACGATTTATCCGCAATCAATATTATAATTTAAATTTGTAATTTGCGTTTTCATATTTTGTTTCGTTTTTTAGTAAGTACATTGTTTATTGTTTGATTTTTTGATTTTTGTTCTTTGGTTTATTTGTTTGTCAAGAACTCGTGAGAGACATGAGAATAGGATATCTCTCTCTCGAAGTCTCTATTGAGGCTAAGCTTCTCTCAATGATTTCTTCGCAATAAAAATTATATTATCATTTTCTAATAATTAGCTTTTTCATTTTTTGTTTCGTTTTTAATAAGTATATTATTTATTATTTGAGGTTTTTTTTTGGGATTTTTATTGATAAGTCCAATTTAGAAGTGTTTTAATTAGCTTTTTCATTTTTTGTTTCGTTTTTAATAAGTATATTATTTATTATTTGAGGTTTTTTTTTTTTTTTTATAGTTTATTTGTTTGCCAAGAAATCATGAAAGAAGAATTCGTTACTTTTGGATCTCAATATTTGAGAATAGGAAAAACGGACGTCTTTGTAAGTTTCTGAAGACTATTGTATATTCAACTTGTAAATAATGTTTTAACCCAAGAAGTCCATGAAGGAATTTTTTAACCCATTTAGTCCCATGTATGTATAGTTTTATTCCATAAAGTCCATTTTCTTGATTTACACTATTTTCTTGGACACTTATGCTCTTATATTTAATTTTGATAGCCTTATAAATATTTTTTCAACGATTAGCAATTTAATGATGTGAACATTCATATTTTAAAATTCATATTTGTAGGAATGTAAATTAGCCCGTGGGCGGCCCGAAACCCGCCGGCGAGCCAGGCGGGCCCGGCCCGTTGACAATGTGAATATTCACATTGACATGTTAAAATTCACATTAATAGGAGTGTAAAATTGGCCCCCGTTCCGTGGTGGCGCGAAACCCGCCCACGGCCCATGGGCGGCCCGGGGCGGGCCCGGTCCGGCCC